TATAAGCTTTTAAAGCTAGCATTGACTTTGCCAGTTGCCACAACAACCGTAGAAAGATGTTTTTCCGCTATGAAAATAGTGAAGACTAATTTGCGTAATAGAATTGGCGATAAGTATTTAAGTAATTGTCTGATTTGTTTCATTGAAATAGATGTGTTTGAAACTGTTACAAATGAAACTGTAATGGATCTCTTTCAAAAGATGAAAACTCGACGCGAACAATTGTGATGTATTTTGTAAGACTTTAATTATTGTAATATTACATTGCTACTTTATTATTATTTTTTGTGATGCATTTTTTTCTGCCCCCAATAACTTCTAATCCTAGATCCGCCACTGGCTCTAAAACAATTAGAGCTCGTTTGGTAACACAAAAATCGGCTGATTTGGCTGATTCTGCGGAAATTTATGAAGTTCTGGCTAAAGTGGCTGCATTGGCTGATTCTGCTGATTTAAGAAAAAAATTCTTTTAAAATATATTTTATTAATAAAATAAAGAAAAAATTATATGTAAAAATAGCTAAAATGGTCATCTATAGTAACTTCAGCCAATACAACCAAAAAAGTAACTCCAACCTTACTTTTTCTGCTTATTACACAATTCAACACGCGAAAGCAAAAGTTACGTATGTGTTTGGTGAAAAAGTTGAGTTGATAAGCCTGATAAGCTGATAAACAGTGTTACCAAACGGCCTCTTAGAGTACTTCATCTGTCTCAATGGAGTTGTAAATTTGACTTTTTAGGTTAAACCCATTCATTTTATACACTTAAATAGGATTTCGATTCTTAATTACATTTAAATTTAAATTTTACAATAATATGTAAATTTTAATTATCAATAGTATGATGTATGTATGTGTATGTGTACTGATTTGTTAACAAACAGTGTATGAATTATAAATCATGAAATAATGAAACTTTTGTTCTATCATAGAATATTTAATGTAGTATATACGTAGTACTCAATTGATTGTAATTGAGTTGAGAACAAACTAGGTGGGCGCTTGTGAGAAAGTTATACTTAATCTGAAATTTTCGGGTTTGATCTGGTATGTTTAAGTATGATCTTATTCGGTGTGAGCTGGACTAGTCTAATCTAGTACGTAGATGTCTAGTCTTTGTGTTTTTACAACTATCAAAATTTGATATGATCTGTTAACGTTTTGTTTGATCTAATTTATTTAACTCTAGTCTAATTTGATCTGATCTTATCTGCACTGATCTGAGATTGAAATAAGTTTAAGTAAAAACATCATGATTTGCATGGCAACCGGAATGGAAACAATTCAATACATTTTCATGCTGGGAGTGATTCGAATTATACTAAATTTAAACTTTAATTTAAAGCATTAGTGAATTAGGTTACATTAGATTTAGGCCTGAAATAGATATGTGCTATTTCTTCCCAAGTGCTCATCCTTGCAACATATTTATATAGGAAACACAAGAACTCCGCTGGCCCATATCCATACAAGACTCCTAGAGTCCAAGACTATTACCCCACCACCTCAAGTAAGGACATGCCCAACGTTATGGGTAATGAACTTTGAACATGGCTTTCTCCCAAGGGATTTTTTCACAATGTCAGTGCATTAATAATCAGTAGAAATATTACTATGGGGTGTTTGGATCTGATTCTTAAAACTGCTTCTGCTCCTTCAGGGAGCAGAAGCAGAAGTTGGAGTGTTTGGGTGAAAATGCAGAAGTGATTCTGGTGCTCTAATTTACTCCTAGAATCAGTTTTTTTAGAAGCTGGGGGGTACCAGCTTCTGAAAACTGATTCTGATTCTGCTTCTGCTTTAAAAAAGAATCAGAAGCAGAATCAATTCCAAACACCCCCTATATGAGTCATATAAGATATGACTAGGAGAAATAATGCCGACTTCTAGGATGTTTTTTCTTGGACTGTAATTTGCTGGTCTGGTCTGGTCTGATCTGTTTTAGTATGGTCTGGTCTGGTCTGGTCTGCTTTGATCTGGTTTGGTCTGGTCTGGTCTGGGACGGATAACAGTCCAAGTAAAAACAACCCTACTCTCCTAGATTATGCTAATGACATGATAATCAATTTTGATGTGTTTAATTATTTTCTCGAATAGAAATTCCTTTATGTAAGAGCTTAACGTATACAAAAATTAAAAATAGGCCGGGCTAAGTATGTTATATTCCAATCAGGATTTATCTAGTCCTACTAAAAAAAGATTTTAATTAAAGTTAAACTTCCCAATACACGAGTCCATAAGTCATATTTTAGAAATAAAGCAATAACAATCATAATGAATTTTATCCTTATTTTAGTCCTATTTAGAAAATTCTCCCTTTTATGAAAAACGCTATTTGCATCAAAACGATGGGTTGGAGTCCTATCGCAATGTATATGCATCGGCACGCCATGCTTTACCCCCACACTTATAATTATAGTAATTTTTTTTTAATTATTTCTAAGGCTATCCACAATGGGGAGGGGTGAATTCCCAAATGTAGTTTTCACCCAAAATATGGTGCAACCCAAGCCATTTTTTGTATTAGAGGGTCCTACCCGCACGGGTAGCTCAGTTGGTTGAGTGGTGGAAGATTTGAAACAATGGACCAAGGTTCGAATCCCCGCAACGACCGGGTGGAGGTCACAAAACCTGAAATAAGGCTGAGCCTCTAGTGCACACGAGTGTATGAGTCTACTGCTATTCTGCTGACTGAGTCACCGTGACTAACCTCCCCACCATCCTGTCGGGTCGGGATGGGGGCTCCTGGGGTGGGAGATTCCACCTTTTAGGAACAATTGTATTAGAGGGTCCTAGAATGGGTTGGGGAAACCTAAGGGAGGGGGAGGTAAGACCCTTGTTCATTCCAAGAGAGGGAGGATTTGGCAGCAGGAGTTGATGCGCAACAAAGCTTAAAGGTAGATCTCATTTAAAACAAAAATCTGAATTTATGTTAAACTATCATAACTTTTTTATCCCTAATCTGATTTTTATAAAACATATATCAAAATTTATAAATTTTTATGATCTTTCATATGACACTAATATTCCATATATAAAGCTTTAAAGAAATATGAAATTTTAATTATTTGAAATTTTCATGCACAACATATTTTTAAATATACCCGAAAGTTAAAATTTAGATGCAATGTATTTTTACATTTTTCTCTTATTTTTTTTAATAAAATTAGTTTGAAGTTATAAGAAAAAAAAATCAAATTCCAAATTTATTTATTTTTGCATCGAAATGATTTACTATTGAAATAATAATTATTCATGAAAAAGAATTGGCAAAAGAATAATGTATAATAATATATGTAAGCATTTCATTGAAAAAAATAAGTTCTGAGTGAATATATATATTGACAGTGCTGGATTGCAGAGAAAAATTGAATTGACTGGATAAATACATATAAACTAGTGAGAGATTATATTTATTGACGGACTGAGTTGCGGTCAGCCTAGAGGATTTAGTTATCTGATTCTGTTAAAACATTAAATTTCTCCAATTATCTAGGGATGAATAAATAATATTCTGAGAAGAAAACAATGATGGTGTTATCTGTACTTTTTGTTTATGTTGCACTCCTATTCTAGAGAAAGTTTTTCATAATAAATGCTAGCATATTGAAAATAATAATAAAAGTTAATAGTATTTGTGAAACATGATTTTAAGAAAGTAAATGTTGGAAGTGTTTAGTAAAGAGTTTTTTTTTTTTGTAATTTTAGCTTTAAAGCAGAAAATTGAAAAAATACTTTTATTTTTAAGTTTTATTAGTAAACACTCTAATCGATCCCTTAGCTAGTCCTAATAAAAAATTAAAAATAGTAAAAGTTCCTCACTTATAAATAAATGAATCATATTTTAGGAAACAAATAACGTAATTTAATGATGGCCCTAATTGAAAAACTTTACTATCTTTTATTCCTATTTTTATTAAACATCTAATATATTACTAAAGTAATTAATTAATAATAAAAATAATAATTATAATAAATGACTAGTAGTATATGTTACCAATTAAGAATCAACAACTACGTAGTACGTAGTATAATACGTAGTATTATGGAGTGCGTATTATATTATTTTTATTATTTATATATTATTATACCGCCACTCAAAAATGATTGGTTGTTTTAATATATTATAGGTTTGACTAACAACTAACATCACAAAACTAACAGGAATAATGCTGATATTAATGTAGTTGTTTCTTTGTCAAGACAAGAATTAGCACAACAATCATATATACACAATTGATTGATTCTTTTCCCATGCACTAAAAAATATATGCACATAAAATAAAATTATAAATATGGGAATTCTAACTGCTCATCTCCTTACCCCAAGTGCTATCTCAACAATATTAAAATAATAACCGTGATAAACTGATAACGAACTACAATAAATATTAATTTAGTATGATCGATTATAAAATCGATAAGGTAAATAAAACCTATGTTGCACGGATATAGACATGCCGATACGCTGATACGAAATACGGCTATGATGATACGGCAACTTCATAAGTTATAGGATACAGGTACGGGGTATATTTATAAATAATAATATAGGGTATAGTTTGCAAATATATATAATTCAGAGGTTCATAAATAAAATAATAACAGTACCAAAAAAATAACAATTACAAGAAAATTTCAAAGATTAGACTAAAAAAGCTAAAGCACTAATATTTTGATTTAAATTCAAATAATATTTTCGGTTCTCTATTTGTATTTACATCTAATTAAGTCTTTTAACAAGAGTGATTTCAATTAATGTTCATCAAACGACAAATTGGCAAATTATAGCATTCCAATATTTTCTATACTCCCGCAATCATCTTTATTAATGTTCCACATCTTGTGGTCGATTGGACGGCTACTAAATTTTCGTCATGTCATGTCATGTATGAAATCAGAGGTTATAAGGTTAGATACGCATATCGGAAGTATCCATATTTAATTTAAAAATAAGTCCAGTACTTTTATTAAATTACAGATACGGACGCAATACGTACAGAACGCGCATCGGTGAGTATCGGTATCGGATACGTGTCGGATACACGGATACGGCATCGGGATGAAGTATCGGTGCACCATAGGTAAAACCCATATCCACATGCTAACTGAAATAAAATTCATGCATCCTGACAAGTCTAGCTATATACTCATCATCCAGCAAGAAGATAAAAACATGCATGCAATACTTATGGACGGAGCGACCTACATACTTCTTGCATTTACTTTGAAACAAGATGAAAACATGCATGCAACACTTAGAACCTGACAATTCTACAGGAAATTCACCGGTCTACAGAAGTTGGGCATTTACTAAGAAGATAATCTATTCCGATTTATTTATATTATTCGGTTTTTCCCAACTAAAAAAGATGATAGGGAGGTATGGAGTGTCATGTGGGATTCACATGAGCCAGTCCCAAACAAGCACATGCAAATTGCAAACATAGAAACATCTGCTGACATAGCTAAATATGTGACCCTCTAACTTATTTAATACGATCATCACCAAATATACCTATTTCTTTAATTATTTCCAAATTCCAATATTAAAGAATTAAAAGCTTATACTTTTTTATATATACTATAAAGCATGAGTTTTTTTTCAACCAAATAGACAAATATCAATATTTCGAACACAAGTAGACTACTTGAAGTAGTCTACATGGGTGCATGTGTTAGTATTGATAGTCGAGAGATGCATGTAATCTCCTTATAATTTTTTATTGATATGTACACAATTAGTGTGTGTATACATCCACACACATTATAGGATAATGATTATGTAAGATAGGTCTAAACTTTACAATTTTAGATCTCTTTCATTTGAGGTGCTTTGGGCCGGGGTCGAATTTGTTTATGAAATTTCGTGAGACGTTCTCTACGAAATGTAGATTATGTCAACCAAATTTAAGCTTAAAATCTAATTGGGAAGTCTATTAAATAAATTATTGAAAATTGCACAATTTTACAAATATATATTGTACGAAAAGATGCATTGTACAAACGTTTGCACAATAAGCACGGTTTGTGCCTACTCTGTGTCATATATATATATATATAATGCATTTTTTTCAATGATATATTTAATTGACTTCTTGATTAAATTTTAAGCTAAAATTTGGTAGATATAATGTTTTTTAATATTAAGACGACAAAATGTTTTAAAGAAATCATTTTTTACCAAGAAATCATTTTTTTGCAAAAGAAAATCAATTTTTTTTGTTTCAATAAAAGGATTTTATTTTGTGATTATGAAATACAATATACTTATTTTATGTGGATTAATAAAATTTTCTTATAAATTGGTAAAGAAAAAAATAATTCAATTATATTTTAACTAGTTAAAGATAAAAATCACAAATAATTAGATGTAACTCACACATAATTAGATGTAACTCGCGCATACAATTATGTAACTCGAGCATTAACATGCATAATAACATGTAACTCGAGCATTAGACGATGTAACTTCATGTATTATCAAATGTAACTCCAAGAATCAAAATAAACAAACTCAATGTAGTCTAAAAAACCTCTAAAAATATATACTTATTTTATTTACATTAAAAAACTTTTTGTTATGTATTGATAAAGAATAAAAAATAGATTCAATTACGGAGTATAACTTAATTTGAAGATAAAGAAAAGTAAAATTGCAATTAAATTTTTAATATTTTAATTTGATGGAAAGAGAGAAAAATTGAAGAAATGAAAAAATAAAGAAAGAAAAGCAGAAGAAAAAGAAATGAAGAAGCTTAGCTTCCAAAAGTGGGATCACGCAGCACACCATGCGGAAGGAATCATCTTGGCTCTATCTGTTACTTTTATAAGGAATTATGTTGGCAAGTCCAATGGGCCGGCCGAGGAAGTCCTTAAAATTCATATCAGCAAACGCCCTTAAAAAAATTCAAGCATACATATATTTTGGCTTCCATATTGACAAGAAATAACTTCATCTTACTCATATGATGATGATCTGTATATGTGTCTCCAATAAGTTTATAAATTATAATTTATTAAAGTATTTGTCTCATATCGGAAAAACTATAAAATAATAAAACACTATATAAAACTCTGAATTATTCTTCCTACCGGATCGCAACATGGGTATCAAGCCAATTAAGTTCGGTTGTGGTTTGATTGCTTGTTTAGCACCTATGATTAAGGGTAGTTTGTTAAGGGTCTGTTTGACCTATTTATACACCCCGTGTAACAACCAGAGCTCATTATATTCCTTAGTTACTGATGAAACGGTTAGTAACACAAGAGAAGGGTGAATTGTGTGTGTGGAACCGTGACAGTTTTTCGCCAAGTTCTAGTGTGGGGTATAGGGTGAAACAAAATAAATAAGTGTGCAAGGATTTATAGAGGAAAAATCTCTTGGCTCAAAAGGGATTAAAAAACCTCGACCTCCCTCGGCTGCTAGTAGGCTAAACCTTTCGATGCAGTGTATCGAATATGAGATAATCCTAATCCTATAATAGATGGGATATTTATAGGATTGGGTATATGGTAACGGTTGTCTCTTCTTATTCCCAATAATAATTCCTTAATTATTGTTGCAATAATGATATTATTTAGAATAATTTATTAGGCCATTTTCCGTTACAATATCTTTACTGTTATCTCTTAATTTACACGCACCGGGGGTCATAACCGTTGTATCACTTTAGTGTAATATATTTAATTTGACCCGTCACCAAAAGAAATATATTATCCTGGTATCTACACTTTTATTATTTCATGAATAGCCACTGTATTGTTTATATGATGGTAAACACATTTTAATTAATTACATATTAGGCCCCTTTTATTGTTTTCCAACACTTGTTGATTTCTTCCCTAAATAGGACCTGTTAACTGACCGGTCCGTTTCATTTGTCAATTATACCCCTCAATTAATTAAGTTTCTTCACAGTGTCAGAACTTTCTCTGTTTCTCACGCAAAAATCCTTTACCCCCTCTCTGTCTTGACACAACAACATCCGCCTTCTCTCATTTCATCTCCCTCTTCTCGCATCTACTTTCATTCACTTTTATTTTTTAGATCAGATTTCTTCTCCAACTTCTCCATTTCCGGCGAGCGGTGGCACTCATCGTTATGGTAAGTCCTCCTCCTCCTCCTCCTCTGTTTTGCGTTTACAAAATCGAATTATTCACTGATTTCCTTGTTTTTTGGTAGAACTTTTCGATTTGATTCAGTTTGCTGAGTTTTGCCATTAACTTTTTTGGTTTTTGGGCATTGATTTTGTAGTTCAGATTTCTTGTTTTCAATAAATTTTTGATTTGATTAAAAACTCTGATTTTTTCGATTTTGGATATTGGGTTCATATTTTGCCAAATTTATGACAATTTCATGTAATATATTATGGAAGAAAATGTGTATTTTGACATCCATTTGACAGTATTGCTCAGGTTTTCATATGACATTATGGAAGAAAAATATTATTTTCTTTGAAACGAGCTGCCAAATATTATGAGAGGAACTGCCTATATATTGTTCATTTTTTATAAAAGATGACAAAATTATCTTTTATGTTGTCAACTTTTTTAAGAGAAATTCCTTTCATTTTTACAATTTTTTTTGTATATTGGGTTCATATTTTGCCAACTTTTTAGGCATAAAAATGGGTACTTTGACATCAATTGCAACATCCTTTCACTTTTATGACAAATCTAATATAAATATTATGGCAGAAATATTCTTATTTTATTTCAATTTTATGGCAAATCTAATATATAGCATTACTTTTTAGGTAACAAAATGGCAAATTTTGCATCTACAAAACTGACATAGATGGTTGTACGTGCAGTGGGTGGAGTGGTGGCATCGAAAAGAGCGGTGGAAACATCGGAAAAGCCAGCGGTGGCGGCACCAGAAAGGGAGGCGGTTGGGTGGTGGAAGATTTTTTTTTGGCGGCGTCAGTTAGGTGGTGGCAGATTGTTTACTGACGGCGGCAATTGGGTGGTTTTGTTCCGTCAAAAGCTGGAAGATCTGGTAGGGTTGTTTTTTGTTTTTTTAATTGTAAATAGATTAGAAATCATTAAGGGCAATTTTATCAACTAAATACATTTTTAGTCCTATGGAACATGGAAATCCTATTTGTGCACTTGTTTATTGTTTTAGTCGAATTTAGAGAATTAACTCTAATCTATATACGGTGTACAAAACTTATGTGAATATGAAATGCATAGAAATTTTTCTTAAAAGCAAAAAGTCTAAAATTATAAAATCAATGGAAAAATGATTAGTAGCTAATAACTTGAATATCTTAACCTATCTTATAAAGGACAAATTTTGTATTAAATGATCTCCCATTGATGTGAGTTTTCTCGCACTTAAAATAGATTGTAGAATAGTGGTGTAAGTACGAGTATCGTCTCCACAGGGACGGACAAAAGGGAATTAAGCATTAAATAAATTCAGCGATTAAAAATAAATAAAATAAATGCGTCGTGCGAGATTTGATTGATTGGGAAAATTAACTAATGCGAATGAACGATTAAAATAAAAGAAATTAAACTAATGAGTTCTTTCTAATTAATGACAGTAGGGAACAAGGATTGATTCCGGGGTAATCAGATTTTTGGCAGATCAGACTTAATTACATGAAATTAATTTAATTGAGCCTAGCTAATCAATACTAAGTTCTTACCGCTCTCGCAGCGTAGAGTACAATAATTTAGGGGACCAGGCTGATCTCTCATGCGACAGGATCCTAAATTATTGCCAAAACGAGCGAGCTTACGGCCCCTTAATCGCTACTAATCTCTTAGCGAGCGATTAAGTGTGTGTGAATGTGTCTCAGAAGAAATTAGATCTCTCTTAATTTATTCTACAAGCAATTGTAAATCTAGCCGCGGTTCCAGGTTACAAAAGATAGCAATTAAATTGTTCAAACGCAAATTAAATGGCATTCATGCAATTAATCCATCAAGAAACTAGCCATATATCATGATTAACCCCTTCATCAATCCCAAATCCGTAATTAAAACTACTCACAACTCATAATTGAAGAATCAATAGAATTGAGAAGAAAAGAATTAATTGTCATTAATTAAAAAGATGGAACTTACAAATAATCCAAGGGAATTTAAGAACAAGATAGAAAAGTAGAATAAATTTCGTCCCTAGGCCTCTCTCTAAGCTCCCCTCTCAAAACAGGGGTTTACAGGCTGTTTAAATAGTAAAAACGGAGCAACTCGGGCGAAATTAGGACTCCAGGGGCACGCACGGCGCCCACGCACGCGTGCGTGGCGTCCGACA